CAAACCCTAGTCATTTGCACTTGTAGCCACCTTCAAACTCCCTCCTCTCTCAGTTCTCTCTCAACTCCCCTCTCAAACCCTAGTCGCCTCTCTCCACTTCCAGCCTAAAATCGTTGGAATCCATGGCTTCCAAGGCCATTGAAGTCCTATACTAGACTCCTATAACTCCTACACGTTTGGTTACTGAAGTTTCGAGGCCTGACCACGAAGAAGCTTGGCCCAGAGCTTGTTTGATTCGAGTTCTATGGCCATCTCCGGCCTTGCTCCGGCAAGCCATGGCTATTCGAGCCTGATCTCGACTTCTCCTGCTAAGATCAATGACTCTCCAAGCCTTTCTCACCATTTGGTTCCTTCTGAAACCCTAACTTTTGAGGTTCTTCTGATTTCTTTAGATCTGTTCTAGATCCGTGTTTTCCCTAAAATTTTAAACGTTTTCTCAAAAGTTTCTTTCAAAAACTCTGCTTTCAAAACCTTTATCTTTTCCGATTTAGGGGTTTTCTGATCTTTAAACATGTTCCACTGTGTTTCTCATGAGTTTCTTCTACTAGTTTCCTTATGTGTTTCTTATGTGGTTCTTCTACTATGTTTCTTACGAGTTTCTTCTACTGTGTTTCTTTATGTGTTCTTCTACTGTGTTTATTATGTGGTTCTTTTACTATGTTTCTCATGAGTTTCTTCTACTGGAAAATACATGCTAAGAGTCTTAGTTCTCTTTTGAGATTTCTGAACTTATTTCGTAAGTATTTCTGCCTGATTTACTTGTTTTCGTCTCTATACTCGATTAATGGTAAACCCCTAGAATTTTGAGGTTCATCCGAGTTTTGAGGCTATTTGCTATGTGATTTATTGGTTCCTCATCTCTGAACTAGTTTGGTTTCGAAACCCTAATCTCTTTGGACCTATTTGGGTTTCTGAAGTTGCTTCATCTGTTGCTCGACTAAGTTTCCAAATCTTTGTTTCAACTTCTGTGCTTTATGTGATTTTGATTTACTGCTCTCATTGGAACTGGATTACAGTTTTCAGAAAAGCTTTCTACTTGACCTTTTGCATACTTCTGATACCATCCCCTTTCTCTATTACTAAGTTGGTGAAATGGACCTATGTGACTGTCTCTCTTAGTCATGAGTTCAGCCTTGCATGCCTAATGTTATGCACTCCTTTATATGCTAAAATTCCCTCTCAAAATAACCTTTGATTGTGGACTGATTTCAAATCTCTTTGTGTAATTCTGATTGCACTCTTGTAATTGATTCTTTCTGATTTCCCTGCTTCTTGGATTTATTTGAATACTTTCCTTCGAACCTTTGACCCCTACCTTTTCTACTTAAGTCGATTTGATCCCCTTACCTTGATTACATTGGTATGGGATTCTTACAGGCCTTTCCCTGATTAGAGTCCGACGAACCTAGCCTCTATTACCTATTGTGTACTTGTACTATGCTGGAAATATTTCCTTATTGGTCATATTCAGCCCTATATGATTTCTTCCCTTATTTAGCACTTGCATGCTACCGTTTAAGTTTAAACT